AGTACACAAGATCAATATTTCCATTCTCTTTCTCTCCGCTGAGACTGTAACACAGCAGATTCCTCTGGTGGTTTTCAGTATCCATAATCGCAATAGAAAATCAAATATTTCTCACTCACCATCTGGGAAAAAGAAATTCATAACTTTATCAGGGTGAAACAGGAGTGAATATGAGAGAGAGAGAATGTTTATGTTCTTCCCATATCAGTAATTTTCCATAAATTATTTCATTTTTCTATTCGTTTAAAGGCAAGTCAGAAATAAGAGCTCTGATGGCTATCAGATATTACATATATCAGTAATGCAATGGGAACAATCAAACCCAGAACAATAAAATGGACTGCATTTTAACAAAATAAAACAATTTTCTATTATACATGATATTTCTTATATGTATGTTTCCTATTCAAACAACAACAACAATAATAATAATAATAATAATAATAATAATAAAATAATAATAATAATGAAACCAGAATGACAGTATTTTGTCATTTTTCGAGAATTTTTCAAATAAAATTACATTTTAAAAATAGATGCACAAAAAGAAAGAGCAAAGGAAATAAATAGTAAAAAAAGATAAGGCAAAAGAAAGAAATTATAGCTGTATTTTATCAAAACTACACCATTTTCTACTCTACATGATTATTGCTATATATTTCCTATTCAAGAAAAATAATATTAGTAGTAGTACTAATACCAATAAAAATAATAATATAATTATTAATAATATTTGTATTATTATAACTATTCCATTTATTTATATTTATTCATTTTCAGACATGCTGAAAATAATACTACATTAAGGTTTCATTATTATTATTATTACTATCATTATTATTCACATTAATGTGTATTAATAAAAATCATTGTTTTATCTTAACGGAAAAAAGAGATGTCAAATAACATACTAATACATAAACTGGAACCACTTGTACATAACGCAATTAAAAATCAATTTATAGCTCATAATCACTTTGATAAACTGGATTATTTTCATTATAATCCAAATGCATGCAAATTTCATATACCGGTAAAAATGTTTATGACAGATGTGTTTGACGTGTGTGTGTTAAAGCCATTGTGTAAATACAGTGTGTGTGTGTGTGTGTGTGTGTGTGTG